TGGACTTCATCAGAATTAAAATTTTCTGCTCTTAAAAGGATGCTGGTAAGACAATGAAGACAAACACAAACTGACAGAAAATATTGATGAATCATATTTCTGATAACAGAGATATCACCACAAGAATGGCCAAAATCTGGAATACTGACAACACCAAATGCTGACAAGGATGCGGAGTAATAGTAATTCTCATTCATTGCTGGTGGAAACGCAAAATAATACAGCCATTTTGGAAGACAGTTTTATGGTTTCTTATAAAACTAAACATGATGTTAGTATATGATCCAGCAATTACGCTCCTTGGTATTTACTCAAAAGAGTTGAAAACTTATGTCCACACAGAAACCTGCATATGATGTTTATAGCAGCTTTATTCATAATTGCCAAAACTTGGAAGCATCAAGATGTCTTTCACTAGCTGAATGGATAAATAAACTATGGTACATCCAGACAATGGAATATTATTTAGTACTAAAAAGAAATGAACTATCAAGTCACAAAAAGACATCAAGAAATCTTAAGTGCACATCACTAACTGAAAGAAGACAATCTGACAGGCTCATGTTGTATGATTCCAACTATATGATGTTTTGGAAAAGGTAAAACTATGGAGACAGTAAAAAGATCAGTGACTGCCAGGAGGTGGTGGGGGGATGAATATACAGAGCACAAATGATTTTTTAGGACAGTGAAAATACTCTGTATGATATCATACATGATGGGTAAATATCATTATACATTTGTCCAAACCCATAGAATGTACAACATTAAGGGTAAACCCTAATGTAAACAAAACTATGGACTTTGGGTGATTATGATGTGTCAATGTAGGTTCATCAATTGTTACAAATGCACCACTCCTGTGGGCGATGTTGATTATGGGGGAGGCTGTGCATGTGTAGTGGCAGGGGGTATATGGGAAATCTCTGTGCTTTTCCCTCAGTTTTGTTGTGATCCTTAAATTGCTCTAAAAAATTGTCTTAATTAAATAAAAAGTCCTTCTGGCTGCTCAATGCTGAACTGACTCTAAGAAAGTAACAAGAGTGGAAGGAGGGAGACCATTTACAGTAGTCCAAGAAAGAAATGACAGAGCCTTGAACTAGGCTGGCAGTAGCAGAGATGAAGAGAAGTGGGCAGATTTGTGAGATATTTAGAAAATAAAACGCATGGGACTTGGAGAACGTCCACCATTTTCCAAAGGTCAGCTAATGCTGGCTTCCCAGAGCAAGGAGCTAGGGAAAATTTCATTAACAAATCCCCTCTGAAATTGCAGGGGGAACCCATGGCAAAAATCCTCAACTCAAACTTCCCGAGAGGACACCACTGGTTACGTTGCTTGATTGTTAAAAAATGCAAAGAAGAAGAAGAAAAGGACGAAGGGAAGAAGAAAGATGGCATAAGCACATATGTCTCTTGATCTTCTTAAAAGCAATGAGAGGAAAATAAAATTTGAGATGGGAGATCAGAGTCCAAAACTCAAAATAAAGTATATGCCCCTATTATTTCCACAGTAGTTAGCCTTTCCTGACAATGATATAAATGTTGATAGCATCACCTTTAAAAATAAAGCACAACAAAGTGATCCTTCAGATTTGTAGAACGTTTTCCATTTTACAAAGTTGTTCTATACACATGATCTCCATTAACTACTATATCAGCTTTCTGATGGTAGGTCTTATTGGCCACAATTTTGTGATGAGAAAACTATGAAGACAATTTTGGCACTGTGAAAGCAACACGAACATTGGAATCTCCAGCTCTGGGTTCATTCGAATGTCTGCTGGGCTGCCATTTATTCAGTGGGCAACTTCGGAGAATTCTCACCTTAATTTTTTTTAGGCTTCCTTGCTTATAACTACCCTCGTCACCCCTGTTCATTAGTCATTTCACTACTATTAGCATCCCCATTCATACCCATCCTCTATTGGGTGTAAATAAAAGGAAAACTCAAGTCTGTCACCACACTCTAAATTGTCAATGTTAGAAAGACCATCTGGTCCCCTCTTTACCTCCTCCTCTCCCCATTTCACATAACAAGAAACTAAAGCTGAGGGAGAAGAAGAGATTCACTGTCAGTCTGTAGACAAATAGTTCTCCTGGCTCTGAGACCTATTTTATTTCCATTCTACTTTTCTGCCAGCCCAGCTGACTCAATTCCTTTTGAGCAATCCGAGTTAAAAGATTTGCTGCTACTAGAGGTTGTGATGACTACTCAAACAAGGTTTTTAAATATCTGTGCATTTCAATTACATATTCCTGTTTCTCATTACAATAGGGACTTGAGAATTAGCCTTGTTACAATTTGATATCTCTATGAATAAAGCTGCTTCTTTACCATAAGGAGTGATTTGTGAGATTCTCCACCAACAAAGTGGGGTATATGTGGAATAAGTCCAGGCAGGGCTGAAGCCATTAACTCCTCTGGGGACTTTTTTACCTCCTCTGGTGAAAAGCTGCTCAGGCCTTTGTATTCTGGAAGGTTCATTTACAGCCCTTTCCCAAATGGTCTCGACATTGATAAGTCTAGCTTAAATAGCAACGAGATGGAAGACTAGTTTAGGTTCTACTAATGTGGAACACAAAACAAATTATGTTCTTGCTTCAATGACTTCATCTGGAAAATAGAGCTGATCATGCCCACTCTTCCCTGCCTTTAGGATTAAGTTATCTCCTTTGGTCACAGTAAATAAATGTCCACGATGCTTGGCTGTGAACAAGATAAGACTCTGTAGAAGCTTGTAAAAAGTAGAAGAGGCCCAGTCAAAAATCTCCACTAGCCTTCTGGGACAGATCCAGACTTCTAAGGAATTTAAAAGCTAGGGAGTCCCAGGGCCCCTGCTGACACAAAAAGAAATCTCCTTCCCTAGAGGTCTCCCCTTCCATTTTCTACTCTTCTATTTCCACCTGCCTCTTCATCTTGACTCAGGGACAATGGGACCTCCTCCACAACGGGGCAACTGCAGTATCCCATGTCCCCCTCCACTCCTGGCTGTCCACCAAGAGGAAGAAAAGCAGTTCTATGTAGGTTCTATACCTCTAGTGCAGTTTGCAAGCTTGAAATACACAAAGGCAATTTGGAAAAGCAAGTGCCTGTATATAAGTAAACGTCGGCAAAATCCGGGACAAAATCGAGGTCCCTGTGTACATGACAAGTGTTTCTGTTGTTTGTGCATTCGCCTGCTTCTCTGAGTGCTTGCCTTTGCAAGTCTAGATAGGTGAGAGGTGTGTGGTTAGAGGCAATTCCACAAAGTAAAAAGGGAAGAGAAGAGGACAGAGATGAACTCTGGTTCCCAGGCAGAGGGATCCTAGAGCAACCGGTACCAGGCCACGAGGCCCAATCCACCCCTATGGAGAAATCTGAAAGGTTTCAACAAGTATTGGCTGGTTTGGCCATAGCTTGTTCTTCAGTTTGTAGGAGACTGTCTGTGCTTCTTGGTAGCCCCTGAACATAGTCCCTCAAAGAAGCTGGTACTCCTATTGCCCGTTCCCACTCCCTCTCTCTTCCCTCACAGGCACAGTGTCTGTTTTGAGATGGGACTTAAGAACCAAATCTGGTAAGAGCAAGCCTCCTGGAGCTCCAGGAGCCCTGTCCTCAAAATAAAGCTCCGGGTTAAAGCTTCAGCCCTGGCGTCTAAAACCTGGTCTAGGAAAGTAGGAAGTATTCCGGGAGCTGGGGTCCTCCTCGGGTAGAGCAATACTCTCCTGCCCTCACCCACGCTGCGCCAGCACTTGTTTCTCCAAAGCCAACCGGCGTTAGCGTGCGGTGAGGGGAGGGGAGAAACGGAAAGGGGAGGGGAGGGGAGGGAGAAAGGAGGTGGGAAGGCAAGGAGGCCGCCCCAGCGGGGGCGGGACCCGACTAGCAAACTGTTGCATTTGCTCTCCACCTCCCAGCGCCCCCTCTGAGATCCTGGGGAGTCAGCTTGCTGAGAGAACCAGAGGGTCCCGAGCAAGCCTGGAGGCACAGGAGGCGACGGAGCCGCTTCAGTGCGGGACAGGAGCCGAAGGGAGCCACCGCGTCAACCCCAGACCCGCTCTGGCGACAGCCAACGCCTTTTGCAGTGCGGCGGCTTCTAAGCCGCTGCCCCGGAGCTGCCCTTTCCTCTTCGGTGAAGTTTTTAAAAGCTGCTAGAGACTTGGAGGAAGCGAAGAAAGTGCCGGGTAGGACTGACGGCTGTCTTTGTCCTCCAACCCTCCACCCTGCCCCCCCCCCCCAACCCAACCCAGGTCTCCTCTCCTGCTGCTGCCTCCGCCCGCTCCTCTCTGTCCCCCCCGCCCCCCCACAACCCTCCCTTCCAGTTGGCCCAGCGCGGCCAGCCGGAGTTTGCAGAGAGGTAACTCCCTTTGGCTACAAACTGGCGAGCTAGCTGCACGTTGCAAAGACGGCTCTGGGAAGCCAGGCGATCGGGGAGCCGCTTCAGCACTGAAGCCGGGACCTGGTTAGTTAGGAAGCACGCGGGTCTGGCCCCCAGGTTCCCCTCGTTCCCTCTCCACCTCCCCCTGCCCCTCCCTGTACCCCGCCAGTTTCCAAGGCCAGAGATCAAAGGATAAAAAGACAGTCACGGCTTTAGTAGCCAAAACAACAACAACCAACCGCAAAACAAACCAAAACCAAAAACCAAACCAAACCAAAAAGACCATAACTGGGTCCCTATTTGCACCTGTTTCAGGGGACACTGAACTTGAAGGCAGAGGGTTTTCCTTTTTTTTTTTTCCCCTTCAAGATTTGAGCATCTTTTGAATCTACCCTCCAAAGTATTTAGGAACAGACTGTGAGCCTAGCAGGGCAGATCGTGTCCAGCGCGTGTTTTCCTCTGCAAGAGACTTTGAGACTGTCAGAGCGCTTTCGTGTGGTTATTTCTGCAAGTTTCCTCCCCAGGAGCTTCCCGCAGGTGGGCAGCTAGCTGCAAGGACTACCGCATCACAGCCTGTTGAACTCTTCTCAGCAAAAGAAGGGGAGGCTGGATAAAGGAATTAGGTGGAAGATTCAGCCAAGCTCCAGGATGGAGGTGCAGTTAGGGCTGGGGAGGGTCTACCCCCGGCCACCGTCCAAGACCTATCGAGGAGCTTTCCAGAACCTGTTCCAGAGTGTGCGCGAAGTGATCCAGAACCCGGGCCCCCGGCACCCTGAAGCCGCGAGCGCAGCACCTCCCGGCGCCCATTTGCAGCAGCAACAGGAGACCAGTCCCAGGCAGCAGCAGCAGCAGGGTGAGGATGGCTCACCTCAAACCCAGAGCAGAGGCCCCACAGGCTACCTGGCCCTGGAGGAGGAACAGCAGCCTTCACAACAGCCCTCAGCCCCCGAGGGCCACCCGGAGAGCGGTCGCGTCCCAGAGGCCAGAGCCGCCTTGGCCGCCGGCAAGGGGCTGCAGCAGCAGCCACCAGCACCTCCGGACGAGGATGACTCAGCTGCCCCATCCACGTTGTCCCTGCTGGGCCCCACTTTCCCAGGCTTAAGCAGCTGCTCCGCCGATCTTAAAGACATACTGAGCGAAGCCGGTACCATGCAACTCCTTCAGCAGCAGCAGCAGGAGGTAGTATCAGAAGGCAGCAGCAGCGGGAGAGCGAGGGAGGCAGCCGGGGCTCCCACCTGCTCCAAGGACAGTTACCTAGGCTGCAGTTCGACCATCTCGGACAGTGCCAAAGAGTTGTGTAAGGCAGTGTCGGTGTCTATGGGCTTGGGTGTGGAGGCATTGGAGCATCTGAGCCCTGGAGAACAGCTTCGGGGAGATTGCATGTACGCCCCGCTCCTGGGAGGTCCACCCGCTGTGCGTCCCACTTCTTGCGCCCCGCGGGCGGAATGCAAAGGTTCTCTGCTGGATAATGGCCCAGGCAAGGGCACCGAAGAGACTGCTGAATATTCCCCTTTCAAGGCAGGTTACGCCAAAGGGCTGGATGGCGAGAGCCTGGGCTGCTCTGGCAGCGGCGAAGCCGGGGGCTCCGGAACGCTTGAGCTGCCATCCACTCTGTCTCTCTACAAACCTGGAGCAGTAGACGAGGCAGCAGTTTATCAGAGTCGCGACTACTATAACTTTCCGCTAGCCCTGCCCGGGCCGCCGCCCCCTGCGCCGCCTCCCCATCCTCACGCCCGCATCAAGCTGGAGAACCCGCTGGACTATGGCAGCGCCTGGGCCGCGGCGGCGCAATGCCGCTATGGGGACTTGGCGGGCCTGCACGGCGGGGGTGCAGCGGGACCGGGCTCGGGCTCACCCTCAGCCGCTGCCTCCTCTTCCTGGCACACTCTCTTCACAGCGGAAGAAGGCCAGCTGTATGGGCCCTGTAGCGGGGGCGGGGGTGGCAGCGCAGGCGAGGCAGGTACTGTAGCCCCCTATGGCTACACTCGGCCACCTCAGGGGCTGGCTGGCCAGGAAGGCGACTTCCCCCCACCCGATGTGTGGTATCCCGGCGGCATGGGGAGCAGAGTGCCCTATCCAAGTCCCAGTTGTGTCAAAAGCGAGATGGGTCCCTGGATGGAGAGCTACTCCGGACCTTACGGGGACATGCGGTAAGTTTCTCCTACTAGGAATGTCTTTCAGGTTAGAGTCAGTGTGTGTTCTGAGGCATCTATCCGTTCCTTCCCGCGTGAACAGTCTGCCCCTGCGAGAGCTCAACAGGGTTTCATAGGAAGGGCCGCCCTAAATCTGGAGCCTTCGCTGGACTCCTGGCCTGCCAAAAATTCGGTCTTCGCGGTCTGAACCCCCACTGTGCGCCCCAATCCCCGCCGCTGTGAGCCCTGGATGCTGGTGCCTTTCCAGATTCCTTGACAACCCTCCCAACTCCAGCCTCCTAAAATCCTCACTGCCTAGAAGTACTCCATGTCCTGAGGGCTCTAAACTTGAACCCAGTTGCAAGGACCACCTTGGAAATAAAGGTGTTAAGCCCTTCACTACTTTTTCTCCTCTCCTCCCCTAAATCTGAGAACCTGGACAAGAAATTTGGACAGTTTCTCCGGTTAGGGTCTGTTAGAGTTTGCCCTCCAGCCTGTTGCCAGTCTTGCCAGGTTAGAGGCAAAAAGACTGGCCCAAGTTTTTCTCAGCCCGCTTCCACCAAAGAGATAAAATGGAGTGCCTGTATTCGGGGAAGAAGGTGGTCTCTGGGTTCTGAGGGCTGTTCTGTGAAGAAGGGGTGAAGTCCCTTTCCTGGCAACAACTGAAAACTTGTCCCAGGGTTGGAGTTCAGCGGAGAGAATCCAACCAGGCACAATTAGAGCAGGCAAAGGTAGGGGAAAACCAAAGGACAGCTTTCTTGGTAAACACTGGGCAGGATTTGCCCTCACAGGTTGACTATGTTGGAAGCAGCTCCTTGGGTCGGTTTTCTCTTATAAAGTATTTATTTTCTCTGTGGATTATAACAGATCACAGTCCCCTACTTCAAGTTTGCATCAGATCTATAAAGAGGAGAATATTCTTTTAAAGAACAATTTAGCCAGATTTGAGTTGACTTATAAAAGTGTTGGAAAAAAATTTAAAGGAGTTCCTGTTATTCCAGTGTGCTCAGAAATCTGCTTTTGAGTGGGAGGAATGAGGTTCTTCAATATAATCCTTCATTTTAAGGACATGCTTACATTTTAAAACATGACTGTTTTCAACATGCTTACATGCTTACATTTTAAACATGACTGCTACCAAATTGAGTAAGAACTGTTAGGGACCTATGAGCCATAATTTTGCCTAAGAGTTTTAATTAGGACATGAGCAAAGTGGTCCTCAGTGTGTTCTGGATTATTAAAAATTCCTCCTTACCACAGTTGTTGAGCTTCTTGGAGACCATGTTGAAGATTTTTCCCCAAAAGCAAACTAAGATATTAGTTTATCTCAGTGAGGAAGGGAATATTGACTGGGGAACTAATTCCTCAGGTCTGCTGGGTAGTGATGTTCCCACGGACTTGTGTCTTGTTCTGTTTCTGTAACTATTTTCTTTTCTCTGTGACCTTTCCAAAATTTCTTTGTTAGCCTTAGCATCTTTGTTTGACAACTTAAATCTATCGGTTTGCCTCCTTTCATTGACACTTCTGTTCTTTGAAGGTTGATAGCACAGTGTTGGCACAGAAAGAGGAGGATAGGACTTCATAAAATATTTTTTGGGGGGCTATTGAAGAAACAGCTTCGTACGAGGCTTTATATCCTGTTAGCTTTTTAACGTTTGGCTTACAGGACTTTCAGAGGGTTCATTTATATTGTCAAAGTCTTACTCAGTTAATTTGGAGTTAAAAAAAATTTCATAATGTGGTTATACCATGGGATAAAAGGTCTTCATTTTATAAGAACAGATTTACTCGGCAGGCTTAGTTTTTTCCTAGGGCTATCCTAGTCAGCGGAGCCCTCTTCTACTGTGAACTTTTCCAGGAGGAGGAGGGGAAATATCTAAGGAGCTTCTTGACCTACTATGTAACCCAGTCACTGGATCCTTCCTCTTCTGCATGCACCCCCCCCCAACCACTAACTCAGTTAACAGGGAAGAAATGAATGATTCCACATATTTGTTGAGATGTGTGTCTTCCAAGACATAACCTGAAATTTTCAGGAGGTGGTTATAGACAACAAAAAGTTCTTCCCATCAGGTGTACAGTAAATTAGGTGATTTTATCCCAGGTCTTAACGGAAAAACTTCCCTATTAAAAAGACCTGCTTAAATTAATGACCTCAACTAGTGAAAATTTAGCAGTATCCAAAGAAAGTACAAGATTATTTAATCTTTCCTGGTTTGCGATTGCTGCACTGGTTGTGGAAGTCTAGTGAAAGGAAAAACTGGTGTTCCTATCTTGTGAGCTGACAAAGAATTTTCATTTCTAGGATATAGAAAATCCTTGAGTCAGTTTTTTGAAAATTTTCAATTTCATCAGAGTGCAGCCAATCCCAATCTAAAAGTTGAAATTGTCTTACTTTCTTTTTCTTTCTCTCTCTTTGTAGGGGCACAGTTTGGTGAGAGGCAAGGGATTTTTTAAGCCAAAACCAGAACTTCCACCCTCTCTGTATTGCATGCATTATTTGCCAACTTTGAGTTAAAATCTCAAAATCGTACAGGCTTCCAATAACCTGTTGGATTCCTCCCTTTTCCAATTGTGTGTGTTCATACACATTAGTTAATTGTAGGGGGGATTCTTTTTAACTTTAGTAATTTCTTGAATAACTTTATACATCTACAGTGTTTCTGCAGGGAGGAGAGAGGCCGAACGTGCCCCCCCCCCCCCGCTTTTTTACTTAATTTAGCATGTGGTCTGAACAGAAGGAATAGTAAAAAGTGATGAGGCTTGTGTACAACCCTGATGATATTTTATGGACCTGCCTTCTTTCAGAGATCAAACAAGACCACAGCTTTCTTAATTGACCACTGTCCCACTTGACAGAAGTAGAGCCCCTTATATCCCAGCAAGCAGAACAATAATATGACAAATATTTATTCTTGGGAGTTGAGGTCCAGGAAAGGCTGTGTAGGAATTAGAGTTGGGGTTTAGATAAATTATCCAGATACAAAAAGAACATTTTAATTTTTCTTTTGGTAATTTATTCTGGTCTTCATTATAGGTAGTATTTTTGTAATGCTTTGAGATTGGCAAATCCTGCCTTTCTCTATTGGTTATTTTTTAAAAAGACATTTTATTAATTCCTCTTTCTATCTTCTCTCTACTCCTCAGTTATTAAGCAGCTTTTTATGAGTATCTTGTGAGGAGCAGTTTGTCTATTTTGTAAAGCAGAAGTTTGCTTTGGGACCAAGATAGACTGACGGTCTATTGTTCGTAGGGCTTGAGTGTCAATATGTTGGAAAGTAGCATCCTTTCTCCATGGTCAACAAATAGGTGGTGAGTTCTGTCTGGGTACCAGTAATCAGAACCCGAGGACCAAATAACCACACTGCGTGGTTCCCTATTTGGAAATATGTACAAGAGGTAGGGATGGAAGGCTCCTCTTGGTTGTCCAGAAAGTATTTCTCTCAGCTCAGCCAAAGGTTAACATCAGTGAGAAATATTTTCCAAGAAATCTGCAGCCTTCCGATTGCAGGGTCACTTTGGGGTGCTTTCTTGCCAGTGCTAGTTTTACGTCATCAGACTTCCGTTCTTTGAGCTGTAAACTTTGATATAATATATTGAATTTACTCACACTTTTAATTTTCTTTTTTAAGTGTTTTTCTTCCCTGTATTAATTTTCTCATCTGGTGTACATATATGCATTTAAAACAGAATTCTTTGGTCTCCTGAGTCTCACTTGTACTATGGCGGCTCTTGGTGGGATTATGTGAGTTGAAGTTAAGGACATGGACAATTTTATTATTATTATTATTATTATTATCATTATTAGTTTCATGGTAACATCAAGATCACCAGTTCCGTCAGAACTCTGCTTAAGCAGGGAGCAGAATGCTGGATGGGTGTGGCAAGCAAGGGGCTTATTTTATAACCAAATCTGAAATCATGATTCTGAAAAACAAAAAGCAAACAAAAATCGAGTTTTGCGAGGTTAGTTGGAGAGGAAAAAGAAACCTCTCCCTACCACTTACTCTTCCACCATTTTCTCTTTGTCTGCAGCTTCCTTAAGTGCTGCCTGTCCCTGATTTTCTTTCATTCCACTCCTTTCATGTTTTTGACATTGAAATATAGATTCTCTCTACTTTTCAGGATATTTTTCTCATTACACTTGTGGCATGCTCCGAAAGAATTTTTTTTTTTTTTAAATCTGGAGAGTAAGAGATCAGATCAACCCCAGAACCTCTATTTTAAGACTGCATGACTTTGAAGGGATTGCAAAATGAATAGCGAGGCTTTTCTACCTTGAGGTGAGAGCCTGATTCAACAGCTGCTGAGGGAGCTGAACGAGATGGCTTGAGGACTTGGCAATGTAATGAAGTATTTTTCCGGCTGCTGTCTCTCTTGATTTCTGTCTCTCTCTCTCTCTACTGGCCATTTTGGCAACCCTTTCTCAAAGCCTGAGAATAACTGAGCCCTCTTCCCTCTGAGACAGCTCTGTTTGGGTCAGACCTCCGCTGCACTTTCACAAGCAATACCTAATCTGCTTGTGAGGTTGCTTGCTACAAGTGTACTTTCATGCTGATGTTAGATGTAAGTTAATCATTTGAAAACAAAGAAAGATATTAAATTATTCTACCTCAGACTCCCCCTGCCAGCATTCCATCAAGTTCTGAGATGTTGAATTCCAAGTAAGCTATTCTCGTCCTAAACACAAAATTGACTTTTCTTTTCGTTGCTTGTAAAGTTCTGAACAGTTACCAATAGTGGTTGGCATTCATCATATTGAAGAGAGTGATGAAATTTCATATCTATATACCAACCTTTTCGAAGAAAAGACCAAGGGTCTTCCAGTTTATTCACCAGCACTTACGTAAGTTTGAGTAGGCTAGGAGAGTGCTTAATGAACACCTCTTTGCTAGTTGTGGGAGTAGAAATAGTTGCGTTTTCTGTAACATTTGTTCACCACGGCGGGGAACCTCTCTAGAGCAGTTTTTCTGATGGTATTTTAGACTGTTGTTCAGTAAGGGCTACTTTCAGTGGCT